TAACCTGTGTATATATTATTATTGTTTATTAACTTTGCGTGGTATTGTATTGATTCGTTGTATTGACTTAAGGTGTAATCACTGAAACGTAATCTCTGAAATATCCAGAAGTTACTCATGTTTAATTGAGAATAATCTTTGACGTTTACTAATAATCTTCGTTGTGATTCCCTGAGTTTAGTCTTAGTATTATTAATTTTTGTGAATTTTATTTGAGTTACAAATTGGACTGAACAACGTATTACTTCCTGTTATCAAGTCATCATTACCCTAAGTTCGATGATTAAGCGTAGGGTTAACAAATTGGTGATTCCTGTCAGGCCTAATATTTTATCTTTATATTAAAAAAAAAGATATTAATTAAACAAATTAATTTTAAAAATAATGTTTGGAATATTTATTTGGAGAAGAAAATTATTTTGTATATATAAGTAAAACAGAAAGTGATAGTTGGATCTCTAATACTCTTCTAATCGATATAATGCAATATGAAGATACTTTAATGCTTTTTATTACAAAAAATGATAATGGAAATTTTTATTTACATGGGTATACTTTTTTAATGAATAATGAAGAAATATATTTTTCTTTACAAATAATAGAAGAAGAAATTCCTATAATACAACTAGGAAGAAATTAGACAAAATATATGCAACAGCTATTTATTAAAGTAAAAGAAAAAAGATTAGTTCCTTAGCATGAAAGAGATCAAAAATATTTGTCAAAAGTTCAACGTCAAAGAAAAAGAGAAAGTATAAAATCACGTGATATGACGCAAGAAATGATGCCATCTGACGAAATATTAAAAAAAGAAACTACATTTTCTAAAAATAGAAATTATAAAAAAGATATTCTAACACCAAAAGAAACGCTATTTCAAGAAGACCTGATTTGCTTTGAAGATGAAAAAGAAGAGGAAATTATGTTAATTGATTTGAATGAAAATAATAAATTAATATCTTCACTACAATAAGAGATTTCTTCTAATATTTTTATGTGGGATGCTGAACGATTTCAAATGTCTTTCAATGATAATAAAAATAATTTTGAAAATGAAATTGAAATGCAAACTTTTGATTACTTTTGTGAAGAAATATATAACTTGTATCAAGAAATGCCAATGGAAAATGATGTACTTGAATCTGCATTTACAAAAACTTGTGAAGTTAAGGCAGATGATGATGTTCTTCAACCAAAACAAATTTTTGAAGATATGCCTAATGTAGAGTATATCTATGAAAAATTAGATCTATTAATCCTTAAAGTATTTAATAATGAACAACTGATGCAAGAAAAATCATTATTAATTTATTCACTGCAACAAATAAATGAATTTGAATATTTTAACAATAAAACCAATTACCAGCTAGATCTTATGAGATTTTTTCAGGTAGAATATCAATGGAAAAGTCAGAAAAGAAAGACATATTGTACAAAGTCACTGCATTACTAAAAATTAAAATTAAATATAACGAATTGAAATAATTGTCCCAGAAGCGATTATCGCATGATCTACTAATCAGAATTTCATGAAACAAAGACCATCATGTGCATAGAGATGCGCTATTCAAAATGATATGTGTAACATTACGAACAGACTACTGGATGCTGAGATATTCAAGAAAATATGCTAAATATATTTAAAGGAATATTTTAATAGAAATCTTTATTAATACTGTGCCACATATCGCGAAAGAAAATCTTATAGATATTTTAGTAAAATAATAATATAGAATAACAAATTTACAAAAAAAAAATTAATTAATAAGCAAAATCATGATGGTACGCTAAAATTTTTATTGAATATTTTGAAAAATACAGAGAAAATTGAAGAAAAATAATATAAAAACAAACATATAGAAGAAGACTATCTAGAAATTACATTAACAATGAGAAGAAAATAAATTTATCTTGCTATAAAAGAGAGGAAGGGAGCTTAATCACATGAACAACTGAAGCGTATAACATCCCTCTCAAATAAAAATTAATAGTATTTAATCGTAAAAAAGAACATAAAAAGGAAAATTTATATTTAATCCTCACGAGAATGACAAAATCTCACACAAAATCCATACTCTACACTTCAGTCAAGAAGTTTTTGTGTAATTAGTTGATACCATCTACAAACTATTTTCTAAAGTCACTCGTAATTCTTGAGTTCGTATAGTTTGTATTTGAGAATTTGTTTGGAGTAAATCCCTTTCTTGCTGAACTTGAAGGAAATCTTAATACAGAGTATCATAAGCTTCTTGGAGATCTTGAAACCTATTTTCAGTTTGAGTCAAAAAAGTTGAAAGTTTCATTAGTAAATCACATACTTGATCAAATTCGACAAAGAAAGTTCCTGTTTGTTCTAAGGAAGTTATTAACTGTTCTCATAAAGTCAAAACTTCTTCATGACTCTCTTGACGACTATATATATCAAATATATATAGAAAAGAAAAATATTAGTCTATGCGTAACTTGACTAAATGAAACTAGTCTAATGAATCCAGCCATTCCCAAAATGATAATCACAGTTTAGGAACAGTCCCAATACAATAATTGCAGTTCAGGCATTTCACCAAATTCACCAGTTAGCTCACCTTTATTACGTATTTGTTCTCTTCTCTCACTTGCGCATTCTCTTTAACAATTTGACCAACCCCTTCTTTGTATTTGATGACGAGTATGAGTCATGATATTGAAAATAATATATTGACTGAAAAGAAAAGTGAGATAAATATCTATATTAATTATATATGAAGTCGAAATGAAAACCCAAAAAGTCGAAATGTTTCGACTTTGGAGGTCAAAGTCGAAATGAAAGTCGAAATGG